AGTCATTCTTAGATACTTCAATACTCCATTGAACAGTAGATGCATCAGATGATGTTTGTATACCATCAATAGATAAAGCATGGGACATTTTGTTAGTAGCATCAGTTTCATCAGGTTGCAACTGTTTTTGTTGCAACACACCAATCAGAATTGCTTTAATTTCTGCAATCTCTTCTACATAAATAATTGTGTAATTAGTATGTTATCTCTCTTACTCGGTATTAAAGAAAGAATGCCATCAAACTGAATACCAACTTCTTTGACTAATTGTTTAATATCTTCTATATACATAAAATAGAAATGTATTTACAAATAACTGGTACCCTTACCAGCAGTTGTGGTGTTTTTCATTGACTGTAACTCTTTCTCTAGTTGTAATTTCTTCTCTGTCAATTTAACAATTACCATATGATAGTATCATCAACAAGTTCATACCTACCTGCATTATCAGTCATTTTTTCTTCCATTGACTGCAACTTTTTATTTAGTTGAGACTCTTTATCCATCAGTTCAGACACTTGAATTTTAAGTTTTTTGTTCTCTTCTGCACAAAAAATGAAGTATTATCATACAGTAATACTATGATAGTTTTACCATTAGTTAAAGTTTTCTCCTCTGTCAGTGTGGCTATATAAGTTTCATTATCAACAACTTTAGCTTTAAGTTTCTCATTCTCTTCTAATGAAAACTATACACTATATGGAGCAATACTGATAGTATTACCAGTTAAATTCTCATTCTTTTCCTCTAATTGTGATTTCTCTTCAGTCAGCATCGTTATATCAGCTTTAAGTTTCTCAATCTCTTCTATACATTTAATAAAATGTCATAAATATATGTAATGGTGGTGTATAGCCTCACTTAGTAAATCAGATACCACTGAATAACTGTTTTGATGCTTCATTGACTGCAACTCTTCACTCATTTGTAATTTCTTCTTCATTAGTTTAGCAATTACAAAATCCCTTTCAACAATTTTTGCTTTAAGTTTCTCAGTCTCTTCCATTTGTATACCTAAATGACAATATGTATTGATTAAGTTTATGATAGTCATGTGAAACAGTTAGAGAATAATTTTTGCTATAATATGAATGAAAGTTCTGATACAAAATAAATTCTTAAAAAATTTTTTTATTGAGCTATTACATATAATCAATAATATTTTTAATACAGCTCAAATGCATATTTATTTTGATAAATAAAATACAAAATATCATACCTCCTGTACATCGAAGCTCTTTTCTTTTAATCAATGCATTAAATACATCTCTCCAGGTTGCTGTAGGATTTGTATTCAACCATTTTGTACACAAAGCTAGTTTTTGATGCTTAGCATCTAACTGTTTAATTGTCTTAATAGTCCATTGTGTTATTCCAGGTAAGAGAAGACCAAATGATTGCCAGTCAACAAGTGGTTCAAGCCATTGAAGTAACAGGACAATATCAGGTTGATCGTCAATCATAGGACCAGGATTGAGTTCAACATCTCCTGATAAGAGGAGGAGCATACGTAGACAAACAATCAAATAGAGATCATTGTAAATCAGGTTAGAACTGCTCCCTCCAGGTAAGACTACTGACTGGAGGTAATTTGTATCAGTAACAGTAACACTAGTAGTACATTGTATTTGGTAGCAGTTACCTAATAATAAAATACCAGAAAATATACAAGTACAAAGTTGCAATTGTTGTTTATCTGTAGTCTCGCGCAGCCAGACCATAGAAGATTCCCCAGCTTATAGCTTACAGTCATTTGTGGGTGGCCAAAATTAATGACAGTAGGCTGGGGAATGGTCAAGCTGCGGTGCGCGCGCGAGACTCGGTAGTTTACCTGTTGGAAGAATTCGGATGTGTCTTAATAAAGAAAGAGAGAGGAGGAGGAAAGCAACTATAAAAAAGAGAGCTGATAGCAGTTTAGACGTCTTCTCTCCCGATGTAGTACTGCCTGACTTGCTGTCTACTGCAGCTTTGAATGAGTGAGAATGGCGGCCATTAGCTGGTCTACTGGAGGCAGCTTGACAGTAGTTCCACAGTCCAATATTTGCTCTCCATTGACAGACATCAATCATCTTGTACTATAGTATGGAGGACAATGAGAGAATTAGGTAACTTAAGGTGTAGCTATTTCAGTAATCCTGGCAAGCTTACAGAGAAATTAATTCTAATTTCTAGTACATGTACCGGCGTATATATAAAACTATAGACCACCCTAGGCGAGAATTGAATGCGTAGGAAGATTATTAGAAATTTTTACGGTTGTAAGGCGTGGTTTAGGATGAAATAAATTCCGGCCGCCATTTTGGTTGGCAACTTTCAATGGAGAACAAACGGGCCGACATAAAAACAAACATGTATTAAAATTTTTGGAGCAAATTTGACCAAATCCTTGACAGGAGAAGCTTAGAGGCAGCTGTTCTTTCTTATAACAAGCGCTTTTTAGCTATTGATAGAGCTACAGCAGGTATGTGAGGCATTTTCTTCGTGCCTCCATTGACTTCCATAATAAACTTGCCAACCAAAAAGGCAGCCAATTATGATGTGTGGGCGGGTACCGTATATAAAATTAATGAAATTCATAACTTTTCCAATTCACGCCTAGGGTGGTCTATATCTGTGCCTCTGGCTTATGAAAACTGTTGATGGATCACAGGAATTGATGATTATCATAAGTTGATTTATGATCATTGTTATATACAATTGTGCCTGTAAGTACACCATAGATGAATACTAATAATGGTAATCCTAACAATGACATTTTGACTTAGCATTACTGCAATTATACATTTGCCAATAGCTGCACTGATATCACTTTATGGCATCATAATTCCATGGCAAATAGTCTCATGAGCCAGACTGAGAAGTGGTCTGGCTTAACTTATACATAATTATTAACAAAAGATTGCCTACCATTATTATTATTAGGCTGTGTCTACAGCTCCGGTAACCGGACGTAGTTTGCAATGCTAGAGCTCCGGCAGTCCGTTTTTCTCCGTAAAAGAGCTTGTGCGCATGCGCAATAGTGAAAAATGGAACTTAGTCTTTTTATCAAGAAACACTAAACCCTAACCCCAAAACCCTACGATCCCGGAGGCTAAGATGTACGAGAGGGTGCTCTAAAAACTAAACACTAAACCCCAATCCCAACCCTACGACCCCGGAGGCTAAGATGTACGAGAGGGTGCTCTAAAAACTAAACACTAAACCCCAATCCCAACCCTACGACCCCGGAGGCTAAGATGTACGAGAGGGTGCTATTTCTTGACCCCAAAAAAGCCAAAAAGAAAGAAATTGCAAAAAAGATATTTTAAAAAAAGAAAAAAAAAATCAAAAACTGCAGCATAGTTTTACTCGGTAGTCCTGACCGGATTCGAACCCCTGACCATATCCGTGCAATCCACACCAGCCTCTCCACTGCACCACCACGACCCTGCTGCATCATCAATGCTGGTTGTTGTATTTATACTCGGTTTCTATAATATAAATCAGTGTATTATTAATACTGCACTGGGGCGTAGCCCCAGTATATATATAGGGGCGAAGCCCCTATTACCGGAGCTCTAGCACTGCATACTGTGTCCGGTTACCGGAGCTCTAGACACTTCCTTATTATTATTATAAAAACAAGAACTAATTAGAGCTAATAATAGAGAAAAACAAAAAAGGGAAAGGAGAGGGAAAGGCCCTATGAGGAAAAAATAAAATAAAAATAAAACAAGGAAACTATACATGTATTAAAAAAAGCTAATAATAAGGAAAGAAGAAAGAGTCAGACCTGCCCATCCACATCGGGTGGAAGGATAGGGGAGCGGCTCAACCACATGTGAGCATTAGCACGCCACAGTGCAACCGAAAGTCTCTGGAAAAGATGTAGGGACACCTCCAGCTGATCTAGCCCCCGGCGAGAGGCTAGATGACCACTGATGGTGCGGAGCACAGAAACGGCTGCCTTACTCCAACCTCCCAGAGACTCCACGGCTAGAGGCTGAAAGATGACCCCAATCCTACGGCACTCCTCCAAATGCACAACATTCTTGCGTTCCTCAGCAACAAGAAGGGCATA